GCCTGCACAAGCAGGAGCTGTTTGAAGGGGGGAGCTGGTGAAGGGTCCCAAAGTGCCCCAAAATGCATTGGTTTGGATTCAGCTCCAACCTTTGCCGTTAGGTGAACCCCAGGTTTTTGGGTAGCGTCACTTACCATGGTTTTTCATGGGACAGGGTGGCAGGTGACCTAAGGAGAAGCAGGAGGAAGAAAGACAAGAAGTTTCTGCAGTTACATCTTCATCTTTCATAGCAGGAACCTCCAGCCTGGACAGGATTCCAAAGTGTCCAGCTCAGACCCCGGTGTTTCCTTAACCCTGGCTGCTATTGGGAAGAGAAAACCAAGGCAGCTGGAACTGCCCGAGTGGGGCCTGTTTGCAGGAGTACTTGGGCCCCGTAGGTGCGTTTGGATGGAGCAGGAGCCGCAGACGCCTCACCTGCGCTGTGCTCGCTTTGGAAACCTCCTCAAAGTCGGAGTGGCTCCGGTTTCCTGGCTCGTTGTGCCCTCTAGAGGCACTTTTGCACCTCGTCCTAAACATTCCCCTTGGCTGCTGCTTGTCCCAGATCCCGGCATCAGAGAGAGCATCTGCTCCTCCCTTCGGCACCATGTTCTGAGCAGGCGGCCTGCTGAATGGCCCGGGCCACAGGGACGGCTGCCAAATGCCCAGGGAGTCTCCGTGGCACGGGGAAGGGCGCTGCAGGGTGTCAGTCCGTGTGTCCGTCCCTGCTGGTCCGGGTGGTTCAGAACGTGGTGCCGATACCGTGTTTGTGCACAGCAGTCCAGGGGCGGCTGCTGCCCACGGACCACGTGCCAGGCGCAGCCATCTCGCAAGGCTCCGCGCGCCCAAGCCACAGAAAAGGTTGAAATCAATATCCATCTGGAAGCGTTTTGGTTGTTTGCAGTAGAACTTCACAGATGTGTGTGTTGAGACTGTAATAGGTTTCTGCTGGTAAGTAACGGAAAAGAAAAGAATCTGTTAGTGTTGGTGCAGAAAGAAGATTATGTCATTAAGTGCTTAACCTTAGGTAAGTGCAGCACACGTGAATAGTTCTCCTTTCCTTAAGATTCTCATAAATAACTTGTTTGGGAGGTCACAACTTGCAAACATTTGCATTACAAAAAGAAGACTGGGATCGACTTCATGACTTCATTCCCGTCAAACTGCAGAACTTAAGAGATTCAAGATTAAGGCAGTTAGTAAACAACATTACTCTCAATGCAGTGTGAAGTAGTTTGTTTTTCTGTTTATTGACTCATTCTCTCTGCTTTTTCTTCTGCTTTACAGTGAAATAAAGAGAGAAAAGAGAGTACCCTCCCCAGATGTTATAGTGTTATCAGACAATGAACCTTCTAGCCCTAGAATGAATGGTTTAACAAAAATAGCATTAAAAGAGACCAACACGGAGGCGCTCATGGTGAGTCTGCTTGACTTGACACAACTTTAGGTTCTGCTGTAAGAAAACAGCTCTTATTCCCACGGGGTCCCTGTGATCAGGTGGATATGTGGCCTCATGAGATTGACTTGAACGCAGGGAATCTTGAACTTCTGCTAAAGACTTTGCACTTATTTATTGTTTATTTTGAAGCTCCTCCGAATTTTTTCTGTTTCTAAAGTGCACCTTTTCCAGAACTGCCTTTCTAGTGAAGTTTGTGTTGTGGATGCAGTATTTCTTATGCAGCATTTGTTTTCAGACTTCCTTTTGCTTTGTTTGCTCACTTTGCTAGTGAAGAAATCTTGAAAGTCTCTTTTACCCTTTTTTCCCCTTGAGGAGTTCTTTCTCTGTAGTTAGTTGTTATGTGTCCATATTGCAGGCATATCAGTGATATTAAGACGTACGTGACAATTGCACTGCTCCAAGTTCTTGTCATAACTTGCATCTTTTTGCCTCTCCCCCTCCTTTTTTTTTTTCCCATCCTGTATTGCCGTAACTGGCCCTGCAGAAAAGCAGTCCAGAGGAGCGTGAGAGAATGATTAAACAACTAAAAGAAGAGCTACGGTTAGAAGAAGCAAAGCTTGTTTTATTGAAAAAGTTACGGCAAAGTCAAATCCAGAAGGAGACCACTACTCAGAAGGTATTTATTTTTCCTACAGTTATTTAATATCTTATCTTTTGGAATGCTAATAAGAAGAACAGCTATAGCAGTTGCCATAACCAGCCTTCAGAGTACATTGTAGCTGTCACATAAGGAACATCTCACTTTTAATGAAATCTTGGGTCTTATCCTGTTAACAATTCCTTTTTGTGGGATTCTTTTCTTTTTTGGTTTGTTTTGTCAGGACCAAACGACAAGACAGTTATCCTGGCAACCAAGTCCAAAAGCCAGAGGCCTTTTTATTGAAACTTAGATGCATTTATGAACATAATATACTTCAAAGTATTAAACACCATGCAGTCCTTAATGCAGCACAGAGAGTACTAAAACACATTTGGAGGAGATTCTTGCTAATAACTCTTCCTGTCAGCACACAGACTGGTTAAAGCCTTTGCCCGCCAGCGCGGGGAGCTGGCAGCGGCCGGCCGCGCTCGCTGCGCCGCGTGGCAGCGCTCCAGGGCCGGGTCCACCTCTTGCTCTGTGCTTAGAGCTGCGCTTTAACCACCCAGGAACCCGGGCAGCCCCTGGTTCCGGCTCAGCCCTCCCGCCCTCAATTCCCTTCTCCCCCACATCACACACACAGAGGAGGGGAGAAAACTGATCTGTAGGAGACAAACACAGCAAAAATATCGCTGTTTCTGTGCAAGGAGCTGCCGGCGCTCGGCTTCCCCTGCAGTATCCGTGCTGGCACGAGGGGCGGAGGTGGATGGGGGCCAGGAGCAGCGCGGACGCCCCGCGCCGCGGGACCCGTTCCAAGCGCTGGCCGCTGTTTTACTTTGCAGTGTGTGTTGCTGACTTGATTTTGCAAGGTGTAGGTTTAAGTGTGCTTCGCTCAGCAGATGGACATTAGTACAGTTGCTTCTGGTTGTTCTTTTGGTGTTTTCTCCTGGACTTTCATTTGTTTGAGTAGCTGGAGTTAAAACCTGTGCAAGTACCGGTTCATTCCTGCATGTCCAACGAAGGAACCTGGGCTGTTGGAATTCACGGCATACTCTGAACCTCTTTATCTGAAATCTTTCCATAAACACTGCTCGCTTTACACTGTGCTTGAATCTGGCTAGTTGCAACCAGTAGTAACGGTGGCTAAGCCTGAAGTGGGCCATAAACGGAGGCTGTTGAAATCTGTTTCTGCTTCGCTGTGTTTTTGGTGTGTGGGCACTTTTATTTATTCCTTAGCATAATCTAATCTGTGCTTGCTTAATAACGTCCTCATTTGAATACGCATGTTGAGATGCTCGGAGGAAGCGGGGCGGGGGGAAGGACCAGGGTGCCGGCAGCGTCTCGCGCGGCCACGAGGAGGGAAGCGCCGGCGTTCCCGGCGTTCCCGGTGCCGCTGGCGTTCCCGGCGCTGCCGGCCCCGCGCGCGGCCTCACCCTCTGTGCTCTCTCTCTGGTTTCTCCTCCTGCAGCCTGCCGGTTCCTCTGGGAGTGCTGTGGCCGCCCCCCCGCCCTTGGTGCGGGGGCCGCAGAGCGTTCCTGCGGGCAAGCCGGCCCTCCAGGTCAGTGCGGCGGCGCTGCAGGAGAGCTCGCAGCTCCGGAGGGGCCGGCAGCACACAGGGAGCTGGCACCCAGCTGCCGAACGGTTGTTTAGGTATTCGCTTTGTGAGAGACGCAGCGCTAGCTCCACGGACCCCGCTGCAAGCTCCTGAAGAGCTGGTGGGGTGGGAGATGGAGAAGGTGTCACCCTGTCCCCCGAGGTACCTGTCACAAGCGGAGCTGCCAGCGGCTGCTCATCCTGCAGGGCCTGGTCCCCTCTGCTCAAAAATGCATTTGGATACTGGTAGGAAGAACCTTGGGCAGAAGGTGCCGTGTGGTCCTGGCGCAGAAACACCCTGGACGCGGTCAGCGGCCCCAGCAGCTGCGGGAGCTCAGCGAGACGCAGGGGTTCCCCTGCACCCGATGGCTCGATCCATAGTGGGCAACGTGTTGGTTCAGACTAAATTAAGTGAAATACTGCAAAATGTCAGGGCATGGAAGGAAACAGCAAACTGACATCTCCCCAGCTAATCTTCTTTTTGAGCTATATAAGTATTTTTTCCACTTCAGGGCTTAAAACTTTTTTTGATTTTTATTTTGGGCTCATTTCAAACAAATTTCAATCATCAAACATCATTTGAAAATATTGAAGTTGCAGCCATATGTTCTAAATTTATTTTAATTCCCCTGAAATGCAATATGTGGGGGAAAGGGTTAACCTTGCTCTCACTTTAGGGAATATTCACAAACCTGATTCGTTAGTTTTGAGTAATCTCTTCCTTGAGGCAAGTTGCCTAAAGACAGCACTTTCAGAGGAACTGGACCCCATGTTAGATCTGCAGCAAACAGGCAGTGAGACGTTGGTACGTGGCAGCGATGAGGGCAGAGCGTGGGAGCTCGGGGTGCACAATTCTGGTCAGCCTCTCTAATTTGCAGTGTTTGGGCAAATTAACCTAATCTCCATCTGCTTCTGCTTGAGCGTAAGAACTCTCTGAATCCCTGTGCACAAGGCTGGGGCCGTTCGGCCTTCAGTAAAAAGGCTGAACAGAAACGGGAAACGTTTCCTAGACGTGTGCAGCCGAATGACAGGCAGGAAAGCGGGAGCTTCGGGATGCGGGAGTCTCGCGTAAGCGGTGCATGAAGCCGTGTCCCGTTATAACGGTGTGGGAAACCTGCAGGATTTACTAGTCTGCAGCCCAGAAAGCATGGACAGCAGCTTTCCAAAGGTCTCTAGCCTGATTCCTTATCTTTTTTCTTTTTTTTGCCTTGTTTTCTTCAAGCTTGTCCCCTTCCCACTCTCCTTTTCCCTCCCCATGTACATGCTTGTGTCCAGTCCCTCCCCTGCCCGGGCTCCTGCATCTCCAGCTTCTGCCTGGCCCACGGTTCTCCTTGAAGATGGCATTTTGCAGTTCCCAGTTCTCCTACCCCCAGCAAAGAAAAAAACCACAAACTTGTGTTTGGAGCTGGGGCAGCCGGGCCGGCTCGGGGCCGTCCTGCTCCCGATGCCGTCGCGGCCCTCGCGCCAGCCGGGGCACAGAGTGTCCTGGGGCTGCTCCCATGTGCCATGCGCTCTCTCCCGCTGCGCTTACGCCTCCCCTCTCCGTGTCTGCAGTACAGCAGTTCTGCAGCTATGGCATTTCCTGGATTTTTGTTGTTGTGGTTGAAAATGTCACTCAGAATTGCTTTTTACCTTTTGAGTTCTGTGCAGGATGTGCGAGAACCATCTCTGAGCATGTAGCCAGACTGCTATCCCACCCTTGCATCTGTTTATATTGCTGCTTAAGATCTTAGATACTGTTTAGCAGAGCACTAACCTACAGAAAAAGTATGTATATACAGAATAAAGAAAAACAAGTGAATTATCTTCTGTTTTGCAGACCTCTTCTACACGTATACCGGGCACTGTTATTCCTCCTCCGTTGGTCCGTGGTGGCCAGCAGACTTCGTCAAAGTTAGGGACTCAGCAGAACACACAGATAGTGATGCCACCTCTTGTCAGAGGGGCACAGGTAAGTATTTGTCTCATGGTAGATAAACTCTGTTATTTTTTTTTTTCCTTTTCTTAACTATGTTTTTTAGTCATCCTTCTTGTCCAGAAGGATTCTCTGTAGTTCTTGAATAGGCTTGGATACAATTTCCCCATCATTCCAGTTCATACTTACACATTCTGCTGCTCCATAACACATCCAGTGAACCATGAGATTGGTGATATGGGATATAATTCTTCCTTTAGCTGCACCAAAAAAGTTTCTTTTTTCGTGAAAGTTACTTTACAGACTTCCAGTTTTACCCGCTGCTTGGGAGAGCAGCAGCAGAGGAAGTGAAACTCATTGTGCTTTCACTTTTTTCCCATGTTATTCTTCCCACCTTACCAATTTCACCTTTTAAAATGCTAAAACTCACTCTTTTCCATATTGTGTCTATCTTCAGATTGAAAAAGAGCTGCTGAAATGAGATAGTGAGTTGAAATTTGAAGGTGGTGGCTTGTGAGGTCGTTATCATCTTTAAGAGAAAGCAGTGGTGTCGCTGAAGGAGTGGGGCTGCAGTGCGATGTGTTCTTGTAGAGTGATCACTTCTGAGAGAGACCGTGAAGAAAAAAAGTTTTCTTGTTAAATGAGGATTTATTCTCCAGTGAAAGGCCTACTTTTATGTGTTGCATAGCCAGTGCTGAGGAAGAGGAGGATACAAAGCATTTGGTGTTTCACTTGCTGTTACAGCTGTAGCAACCTGCTCGTTCTGTGTAACAGCTTTTCCAATGCCTCTAAAATGAGGCAGGCTTAACTATTGCACATTCTGAAAGAAACTTGACTTGAAAACTTTAGATTTTTGGTGTAACTGTTTTGTCCTTAATATGATGGCCTCAGACATAAGGGTCTCTTTGGATGTTATTCTACTAGTTTCACTTTGACAGCGGGAAAAGGAGAAATGCCCTGTTTTGACAAGGATGTTAATCATCACGCTTTTTTGCGTTCCCTGCCTTGCCTCATTTCCACTGTCTCACGTCATCCCATCTGGCTTCCACCACTTACTTCCCACTATCTAATCCTCCCCATCCTTCATGGAACCATCACATCAGCCCATTTCTGTGTCTTCCCAGCAAATCCACAACATCCGACAGCACTCCAGCACAGGGCCGCCTCCGCTGCTGCTGGCACCGCGGGCATCGGTCCCCAGTGTGCAAATTCAGGGGCAGAGAATTATACAACAGGGTCTGATCCGTGTCGCCAATGTCCCCAATGCCAGCCTGCTTGTCAATATCCCACAGGTGAGTTCCGGAGCTTTGCACCAGACGTTACATTAACGTGAGGATACAGGTGGGCACATGCAACGACCGCTCTTGAGCTGGTGGTTGCTTGTTACTGCACCTGCCCTCCTCTTCCTGCACAGACCATTTCTGTGCTCCTATTCACCTACTCTGCACAGAAATGGGGAAAAAAATACTGCGGAAAATTGGGAAGGAGTACACATACCAGGGATGTGAGTTTTCCCGTTTGCTATTTCAATACGAAGCTGTCATTCAGAATATTCTTTCTTCTTCTTTAAGAGGAATAAATAAAAAGAGTGTTCTAGTAAACAGAACTCAAAATGGATTAGCACTTCTCTTTTGAAACACCAGAAGATATTGGCGTGCAAGTAGTGTAGATAAAAGAAGCACAGGGTTTTATTTTACAAGTAAAAGTAATGATTTTGGCAAAGTCGTATGAAAAGTACATTTATTTTTCCTCCAGATTTCCAATACATGGAAATGATCAGTGAAGGAAAATGAAATTATTTAGAAAAAGGATAAGAGGATTAGATGACCTGTTATTTGTAATAGGATCTAAGTGTGCATACATGTTGTGATCTGTTTGGTAACTGCGTAAAGTAAGACGTAGTGGGAGATGGAGACGGTTTGTGCACACACACACACACACACACGCACACACACACGCCTGTTGCACACACCGTCACAGCAGACACTGACTGTCGTCTCGGTGGAGAGGGGTATTTCCAAAGGGCTGAACGTCCTGCGCCTGTCCCTGACCGAGATGTCCCCGTTTCCCCCAAGGCGTCCCCGACCTCGATCAAAGGCACCGCGGTGACGTCGGCGCAGGCGAACGCCACCACGACGAGCGCCGCGTCCATGGGCAGCGCGGGCGAGTCGCCCGCGAGCCGGCAGGCGGCCGCCAAGCTGGCCCTGCGCAAGCAGCTGGAGAAGACGCTGCTCGAGATTCCGCCTCCGCAGCCTCCCGCGCCGGAGATGAACTTCCTGCCCAGCGCGGCTAATAACGAGTTTATTTACTTGGTCGGCTTGGAGGAAGTTGTGCAGAATTTGCTGGAAACTCAAGGTGAGACAGCGTTCAAAATCTTCCTTATAGATGAAGAGAGAAACTTTCCCATGTGGACTCTAGTTAAAAAGCAGGCGCTGAAGAGCTTCAGGCTTTGCAGAGTTACATTTTCATAGGCTGCCTAGTACTGGATTCACTTTCTCTGACAATTTTTAAGTTGCTTTATTTAACTACATAATTCTAGAATTTCACAGTGGTCTGACTTTTGTGCTAGGCATTAATTATAAAGATTTCTCTAAAACACCTCCAGTCCTCCTTAGAGCTGTTGCCTTTCCCTCATCCACTCGTTTGTCCATCAACACTGAATTCCCCAAAGAGAGATTTTCAGCACATTCCTTACCAGTATGTTCACCAACAGCAATGAAAGATATCCTGGAGAAATTGTCTCCAAACAAAGGAGGAAGCCCATTCTTGCCTAATTTATGCAGATGGAGCAAAGGTGTAAATCCCCCGCCCCACACCGCGGGGGAGATGGCCTTAGCTTTCTTTTTGCAGAAGTGCAGGTGGAGCTGGGCTAACCCCACCGTGTTCCCCAGGTAAAGTCGCAGTCGCCGCCTGCTCCCGCGAGCCCTACGTGTGCGCGCAGTGCAAGACCGACTTCACGTGCCGCTGGCGGGAGGAGAAGAACGGCACCATCATGTGCGAAACCTGCATGACGTCCAACCAGAAGAAGGCCTTGAAGGCCGAGCACACCAACCGGCTGAAGGCCGCCTTCGTGAAGGCCCTGCAGCAGGAGCAGGAGATCGAGCAGAGGATCCTGCAGCAGACGGCGTCCCCGGTGCAGAGCAAGGCAGAGCCCATCGCGCAGCACCACTCGCTCAAGCAGGTACGACGTGTCCGTGTCCGTAGGCACCGTGCCCGGGCTCCACGGGTGTGCTGGGGCTGCTGGACGCGTTCTGTCGTGTCGTGGAGACACCCAAACTGTGTCCCGTGTGCTGCGGGAGCCGGTCATGCTCCTCCTGCCGAGTCCCTGTTGTTATCCTGGGGTTTTCAGCTCATATTCCACAGAGTGTGGGCCTCATTGTTTTAGGATGTGCTAAATGGCAAATACCTAAGACAGGAAAATATCTCACTTGAGGCAGGAACACCTAACTCTTTTTGTGAAGTTTCAGGGTAATGGGTAGTATCCGTGGCCTCAGAGCCCGGGTCTTTTAGGCTTTGCAATACCTTTGAACAGGGAGAAGATGGAAAGTGCTCAAGTGCTGCTTTGGGGTGAAGTGATGGGCGTGTGGGGACACTGGAGAGAAGGGTTGGTCTGGAGATGCCTACGCAGCACTGCTGCTTTGCAGCTCCTTGACTCTCCACTCCTACAGACACTTCCAGAAATATAAAGCCAATTCTTATTTTGATATAGAGACGCCTTGAAGCTGTCAGCCCTGAGACTAACAGCCTGTCCCCAATCTAGAGAGCAGGGGAGGGAAGGACAGTGCGGGTTGGTGAGGGCTGTTCGCAGGAGAGGCCGTTGTGCCCACGCGGCCCTGTGCTCTCTTGCAGACCGCTAGCCAGATGTCTCGCGGCGCGGGAGCCCCGCGGGGAGTGTTGCATGCGTTTAGCCAGTCCCCCAAGCTGCAGAATGCATCGTCTGCAGCAGCACTGGGGAGCAGGCCAGGTAAGCATGCTGAGAGACCGGTCAGCAAGGGCAGCGCTGCCGCCTGGAAGAAGACTCCCATCACCACAGGTAGATTTTTCTCTAAAGTTTCTTTTCTTTGTGCTTACTAGCTGCACTCTATCCAACAAGCATAGTTCTTGGGTAAGAATGCTTTCTCTTTGACACTTCCTGCATGAAAACCTGCTGGTACCAAGGCTTTGCTCTCAATATTCTTCTTTGCACCTGCTGTTGGTGGAGTTCATGTTCATCAGAAGGGATCGAGCGGTACCGTGTAAAACCAGCACTGCTTTACAGTGTTGCACATGGATTTACTGTGTGCTGACGTGCTCGGCACTGGGTCTGTGTGCACAGTCAGTGCTGCACTGCAGGAGTTTGTCATTTCATTCTGGGAATTTAATTCAGTCATTTAATTTTGACTGGTGTTTTCTCTTTGCTGTAATCAACACACAATAGATCTCCTTTCTTTGAGTGAAGTACTGTACCTACACCTAGAATTTCTCATATTCGAACTGCTAACTAAAGCTGTTGCTGTGATACAAACATCATTTATGGAATTTTAACTTCTAATTTTACCTTGTTTTTTTTTTCTTTCTTTTTTTCTTCATGCTTTTACTGTATGGTGATGCTTGTTCTGCTCTCTTTTGTATTTTATCAGGTGGGGCTTTACCTTTTGTTAATCCTAGTTTAGCTGTGCACAAGTCGTCTTCAGCAGTAGACCGCCAGCGCGAATATCTCCTGGATATGATTCCCCCACGGTCCATCCCACAGTCTGCCACGTGGAAATAATGCAGAGGAATGCCCAAGAGGAAGACTTAACCTGTTTCTGCCATCCTTTCTATACCACATTACAGTGGAATCTGCTTTAATCCCAGCTGGATATGCCCCAGGCTTCATAGGATGCAAGAAGACCACTCCTCATCACATCGAGTGCTGCTGTCCCTGCTATGAGAAAATGACACCACGTGGGTGGGAAAGACTTGAGCTCGTTTGGTTCTCAGATTCTTAGGATTGGTTGATGATGAAGGCTGTCAGGGAAGGGGAAGAATTCATAATTTTTTGGCTTTATGTATTTAGGTTTTTGTCACCAGCACAAAAGGAGGACTAAGGACTCCCTGCCTTCGGTTCCTGTGTTAGTAACTCCCGCTCACCGGGAACGCGCGATCGAGCGTGGACGGCGGTTCAAGGAAAGAGGAATTTCAGCCTGATGTTGCAGATACGTTTAGTGAGCCGAATTCATGTTTGCTTTTCTTCCCTGCCCCTCCTCAAGCCAGGAAGGCAGCCTACAGATTATAATGTTTCCAAATCATCTGATGATGAGCTAATGATAAATGAGTACAAACTCCAATTCCAGTTGAGTCTGTTTTTCTAAGGGACTGGCTGCCACCATAACTTGTCTGGTAGGTGGGAACCAGTGCAGGAGTCTCTCACTTTTGTTGGATTCTGTTTTGAATAGACTTTTTGAACTTTTGGTAGTGCAAAATCAAATTTACTGAATAGACAAACACCTTTGTTCAGTCTTTCTAATTCAGCGAAAAGCAGTTGGGCCTTTCATATGTTCCCGGAGACTTAAAAGTAAAAAAAAAAAAAAAAATTGAGCTATTTTTTTGTTGTTGTTTTGAGAAATTCTACTCAAAGACAGGAATTGCAGAAGCCGCATGCGAGCAGGAGCGCGGAGGAGCCGGGGCTGCGCTCAGGTAACGGGTTCTCCTCTGCGGCTCCCTCCGAGCAGCGTCCGGGCAGGACTGCCCACCTCCATCCCTCTGGAATTCCGTTCTTCCAGGCGTCCCGAGCATGCTCCTCTGTCCCATCACTGCAGTGTTTCGTTTTTGATAGAGCTTTAGGCAACCCTGCTTTAAGGACAGGTTTCTATGTGGTTTTAATATATTTTGGGGATTCCGCAGGTTTAAATCCAAGTTCATCAGGTCCAGTTTTTCTTCTCATCGTCTTCTCTGCTTTTTCCCTGTTCCTTCTCCCAAATTGAAGTTGAATTCAAGTGGCAGAAATACATGCCTTACTACTTAGGTTGCATATCAGTACTAGAAGTAGTGCTGATAAGAATTATTTGCAAAAAAAATATATATATATATCTATATATCTATATATAAAAGAAAAGGGGGGAGGGATTACTCTTCAGTCTATGCTGAATCTATTTTCTTAGCAGTTACAATTAGATCTCACTTTAAACCAATTACTGTATAGGGTCATCCCTCTTAAGATCTAACTATTGCATAGTGGAAAAGAAAACTCACATTCGTTTTAGCCCCTATTCTGTTGTGTGGATTTCAGTATTTAGATACTCTTGAAAACTGTTCAGTAGTATAGAAAAATTAGGTTTGCAAAATGGTATTTGTTGCTGTATAAAGCCCTAGAATTTCAATTTGACTGTTTTTTTTTTTTTGTTTGTTTGTTTTACAAATGTATATTAAGAGCTAAATGGGGATGAGAGGAATTAGTTTGAGTTTTAAAATTTTTCTTTTCATTCCAAGATATTTTGGACTGGGAGATGTGGAGAGAGAAATTGTGAGTGCATTTTATTTTTGCACTTTGAAATATTATGAAAATGTTTCAGTTCCTTCAATGTGTGGAGATTTTCTTTGTTTTGGTTGTTTTTCTCTCTGACAAATGCCTGCATTATCGCATCTCTGATACAAGTGTCTGGGACTATTAAATGATCTGGGAAAAGTGCATTTGTTTAAAAAAAATGAACTTCTCCATTAAAATTCAAACTCATTTTGGGGAAATCTGGACAATTTAACAATTTCCTTCCAGTACTGAAGAAGCTTTGGCTTCCGCCGATGCTGGAAAGCGGGGACTGGAAGGAGGAGCAGGAGGATTGGAGTGACCCGTTTTAAAAGCCGTGTCCAAGCCCATTTGGGAGCCGCCGGCGCCGTCCGGCCCCGTCGCGCTGGGTCCGGAGACTCGTTACCATCCGAGGGCTCCATGGGGCTGCGCTCAGTGCGGCCCCCGGCCGTGTTGCCGTTCGGCCTCCAACAACCCCGGCCAAAATGCAGGTGTTTGGGGCAGAATCGTCCACGGGCTTTGGCCAACACGAAGTCCCCGGTGGGCTTTGCGCTGTCGGGGTCCCCCAGGGTCTTGGCATTGCTTTTAATCCGTGGTTCTCGGAGGGTTGCAGGTAACTTGGAGGATATATTTATTGCGTATGTGTTTCTGCAGAGTTCTAGGTACCTGCGCCAGGAGCAGACTTCAGTGGTATCCCATGTGTTGTTGCCAGCGGAATCGCTCTTCCCTGGCAGCCGGAGCGGCGCGTTGGCCTGGGAGCGCTTTTCGGGGCATGTTAACGTGTCATATGTTAGGGTAGGGTAGTTGTTAAAACACTTGCTACAGTCTTTCCAGACCTTCTCTTTCGCCATTCGTCTGTCCCCTTTCTTGCAAAAACAAGCCCCAAAAAACCAACGAACAACGACAGGCGGGCGCCCGCCCGCGATGCCGCGGCCCGGCTGGGCATTCCCGGTCGGGGATTGCGGAGCAGGGGCGTCGTAGCCGCGCTTTCAGGAACAAACCCGTGTCTTTTGTGCTGCTGTCACGCCTGGATTCCTGCCGCCTTAAGGGCTATTGGCTCCCGCTGCCGGGGCCCTGGAGGAAGCGGCGCCGCAGCCGGAGCCCTCGGAGCGAGGACCGACCGCGCGGGGCCGCAAGCCATAACCCTTCCTCGGAGACGTCGCGACCGCGAGATTTTATAACAGTAATAATGAAAACGACTATTGTACTTAGATTTTAGCAACTTGTGAAATAAACCCCTGATTTTCATTGGAAACCAGTGTTGCGATTTGGGAGCCGTGTGGTTTTTTAATTTTATTTTTTTATAACCTAATTTATTACGTTTGGTTTTTGAGCACGGGCTGGGTGGCAGTTCTTTGCTCAGAAACACGAAAAGTGGCCTGGTTGAACCGTTTATTTTTATAGTGCAGTCGACTTTGACAGCTTTTCCAGTTCATGTAAAGTGTGACTTTGCTGATTTTTGTATTCTAGGGATTCCTGTAAATGGCATTCCAGATGTAATATTGAAGAAGACTTTTGGTTAACCTTAAATTCAAGATAGGCTTTTTTTTTTCCTATAGATATTTTTATTGTTGTTTTAGGAACCGTTCTTTTACCTCTGACTTTTCAGACCTAGTTATCACGTTTTTGCGTACTAAGAAGTTTTTACCAAAGTACAGTTAGGAATTGGAAGTGGGGGACTTCGGGTGTAGAAAACAGGGAAGGTTTAGACAGGTCTCACCAAAACCCTATTCGGCTCATTTGTCACTTTCTCCTTTTGGAAGGAGGGGGCACAGAAGGCATTTTTTAATAATGTAAAAATA